ATTTCATCTGATGAAGACATGGGGGATACGGAGGAACCGTCCTCATCAACGTCCAAGGAAAGAAAGAAAGGAGGACAAGCAGGGAAAGAAACAATTGAGATGTACAGCTACACTATTAATTTGGTGGAGATGGCTGACACGGCTGAGGGAGGAGAGCTACAATGTGGTGGCGTCGACCTCACCTACAACCCGTGCGGGGACAGCAGGACATTCAAGAAGACGCTTGAGATGGGATGCGACACCATCCCGTGCTACATCCCGAAGTACGGCGACATGATTGATGTGCATATGCCACGGGCATACGCGTCTATTGTTGACCCCAGGTACTTTCCCAGAGGTGCAATCCTTGAGCAAGTGGACGTGATGCAACTTGGCAAGAGTGTCAACTTTTGCATTGACGGTGCTCCACTATGCAGGATTGGTGATGATCGCTCGGTATTTACTACAAGGGACCAAGCAAACCAGCTATCTCACGACCTATGCAGAGTCCTTCGACACAAGATCGGCAATTGCCGAGGAAGTGCTTTCAGGTGCGACGAGGGTGGATGGGTCGACATTGATGCTGTCATTGACGACCGAAACAACGACATATTCCCACCTAACACCTCGAGAGCGAAACGATACATGGGCATCATGGAGGTGATCAAGTGGCAGGAATCCGGAAGCAAGAAGTCGAGATTCCAGGTTCTGGCAGCAAGGTTTCCGAGCATCATGAACCCGAACGACACGAGGGCAGCCAGGGAGGAAATGAACAAGGCTGGCGTGGATCGGGACGACATCGACAGGATGTTCAACAGATGCGATGGATGGTACAGACCTTGGTGCATCCGAGTCACAACCGGTCACAGTGATTTTGGATTCATGAGCTCATCCGCACTGGCGAATAGGTATTCCGCAAGAATGGGTGATACTCTCGGAGGAGCATTCCATGTGACGTATGTGGAAAACCTGCCAAGCATCGTACGCTGTGGGCTAGTCCCCGGCGGAATCGATGGCGGTAACAGGCTAGCACTGCACTTCGGGGCATTTGCTCCATGGGATGAGATGAACGTGGCGACGAAGACAACGCTACGGAACGTGAGGAGAGGGGATCCGATTGCGATCATCTATATTCCCAGTGCAACCCTCGCGCGGTATGGGGCTGGAGTCGCGGCTAATGGGACTTTCATGGTCTTTGACGTGATCCCGTTCTATGAGGTCAAGTCCATTTGGATTGGCAAAAGCAATGGAGGGAAGCGCCTGGAGTACGCTGACATCAAGAGGGCGTACTCGAAGTGTGTGGAGAACGAGATCTGCCCTGGCTTTGTCAACTCATCCCAAGAGTCGGCTGCGATGTTCCTCCAGAACGTTGCAAAGATCAGCGAGAGGATGCCGGAGACTGAGACAGGTGCCGATAATCTGCACTACATCGTTGACATGGTTAATCGTGCTGCGAACTCTATCGAAACAACAAGATGGAAGAGTTCAACGCACGGGTCAACGAGGTCCGGGACGAAGTCAGCAAAGTCGTCATCCTGAATGATGAGACATGGGAAGGACTGAGGTGCCGGATATGTCCATCATGTGCGACCGCGATCCCCACCTGCTTCTGCTTATGCCTGGAATGCGAAGCACAACTGATCTCCATCGGAAGATACTACATTCACATCAAATCCGATGACGAGGAGGACAACCAAAACCCCAACGTCTCTGGAGATGCCAGGCGTGCGCAGGAAGAAGCTAACCACGATGCAGGCACAGGAGGATGAGGACGAAGCGGAGGAAGTTCCGGGAGAAGATGACGACATGGACACGCAAGGATATACATCCGGCTATGCGTCAGAAGAAGAAGACGGCGGTTGGCATTACCGCGACACCGATCTGGCGTCACGGGACATTATAAGTTCCCAACGGATGGCGATCTGCCTTGACGAGCCGCGTGAGGCTCAGTACATGGCAGGATTTATCGCACTCCAGCTGTCCAAGATGTGGGGGATGTTTGAAGGTGGTGAGGATAGAACGATGATTGCCAAGCTCGAGGGGAGAGAGGGCTGCCCTTACCACAATGACTTCAGGAGGTACCCCAACATCACTGAGCATGATCAGGAAGGTATACTTTTGCCATCAACAATAACGAAGATTTCTCAATCGGAGAATGTTCGGACAAGAGCCTTCCGATCGGTTGAGGAGCGTGACGAATATATTCGTATGATGGTGAACAAATGCGAGGGACTATACACATTCTACAAGCTGTGGATTGCAGCAAGAATCCTCGATGTCACCAAGGAAGAAATGAAGCTCCTGGTCAAGGACCGAGTGCACCCGGTGGGTGATATTATTTTCAGATGTTTTGCACTTGCTTTCAACTGTAAGTATATATCATTCGTGAGGGATGGCCTAAACCTTGGCAAGCATGGCTACGCGGTCAACGTGAGCGCCATCATCTCGGCCGTCGACCCGAACAAATGCGACACACCCCTGCTGGATTGGTGCCTTCGGAAAGGGCACTGGTTGCCAGAGGACTACAACAAGAAGTGTGTCCGGGCACGAGAAGCCCAGAAGAACTTGGACGAGGAGTTCCGCCGACGTACCCATAGGCTGTCCATTGGGGACAGGTATGCTTCGTGAAGATGATGATTGCGGTACGATGTGGGCCAGTCCCCATCTGTTACTTGCGTCACATCGACACTGTTTCGGTGGAACGACTTATGTCATGATTTATATTCATGTGTCCAAGATGATTGGATGTGTACATGGTTACATATTCCGATGACTATGACGCTCTGGATATTCATGGATGGAACTATTACCTTATAGATGATATCTTTTCATTATTTATGCATTGTCCATGGTATCTGGAATGGCTATGATTTGATTACTCACCGATGTGCCGGAGATATGCAGACCGATCACAAGGGCGCGCATGGTGGACATTTGTGGCCAACCCATTTATGGATGACAGCTGCGCGATGCGCAAATGCGGCAGCTGGAATGTTCACTGGCGGTCAAGTGAAGTGGCCACAGTGTATTACATACACCTGCATATGGATGTGTGCTTCGATTGGAGGATGAATGTTTCACTTTTCGTACAATCGAACCCGGCATGTTTCACAGCGAATGAACGGTGTAGTGATAGCAAGTAAAAGAATGCACGACACGATTTCGTAGTTGAAGCCGTGGCCAGTGGAACGTTTTGTGGTGTTTGGACCGCATGATGAACAATGCGACCCAAATGGGGGATGTTAAAACCCTCTAGGCCCCGTGCCGAAATTGGGTAGCAGTTCTGAGGTCCTTGTTGGTGTTGCTTCCCAAGTTCCATTGATCGCCATTTGGCTCAAGACACATTTGAGGTTCAAGATCCGATGTGTGACTGCGGATCTCCGTGATTGGCACAAAGAGCAAAACAACCGCTTGCGCCGCAGGGTCAGGACTACTGCTGTGATTATCATTCCTTCTTCCTTACAACGTTTACACGGGTTCGGCTATAACGGCATCGTCCGTATACACCTTTCTACGTGGTTGGTATTGAAGCTTGAGGGTTCGGTGCACAGCGTCCCACGGGACGTCACCTTGCCGTCTCTTGACAGTTTCTGAGGGGTTTGACTGGTTTGACCAGAGTTGAGCCGGTTTGAGCGGGATTTGATTGGTTTCTAGGGGGGACAGGCGCAATTGCAAGAAAATCGGTGCCTGTCCTGCACCACGCGCTTTTTTTGCCAAGATGATATGAGAATCGCCACGGCGCGAGCGGTCGGACATGCGCAAAGTACGCAGAGGGTTACGCAAGCGATATCAGTTTCAGCGCTGCCCCGCAGTGTGTTCGCATTGCTTGGGGGGAAACTTGCCTTGATGCTTTGCTCAGCTTAGGCGGCTGCGGATCATGCTGGGCATTTTCGGCAACTGAGACTGTGGAGTCGCACTTCGCGATTGCTTCCGGCCATCTTCTGACCTTGGCTCCTCAGACCTACGTGGACTGCGTTGTGAACACCCAGGACTGTGGTGGCACCGGTGGTTGCGAAGGGGCCATCATGGAAGAGGCCTTCAATTTGACGATTTCCAAAGGCATCGCGTTGGAGTCTGATTTGCCATACCAAGGGGTGGATGAAACCTGCAAGCCATACAAAGCGGCTGTTAAAGCTCAGGCGTTTGTGAAGCTTCCAGTCAATGATGCCAGCTCTCTCGAGACAGCTTTGGCAACTAAGGGGCCCGTGTCAGTGACAGTGGCCGCAGGTTCTTGGCAACTCTACGGCGGCGGCATTTTTGACGGTTGCAGCAAGGACTCAGATAACACCTTAGATCACGGTGTCCAAGCTGTCGGCTATACATCGGACAGTTGGATTGTCCGCAACAGCTGGGGGCCATCTTGGGGTGAAGAGGGGTACATTCGCTTGTCAAGAGCCAGCGATTCCAAGACCTTTGTGGACAAGAAGCCGGCTGATGGTTCAGCATGCAAGCCATACCCCAAAACACAGACTATCGGTGGTGAGTGCGGTGTTCTCTTCGACACCTCATACCCAGTAGGCTTGACTGCGGGCGACCAAGAACTCGTTGTGTGATTCCGGATGCTCAAACCTGCGGCCCTTGACATTCTCCTCAGGGGCTGACCTCAATGGCTGTTCTTGGCAGCGGTTGAGCAGCAGTTGTCTCAAAACAGCAAAAGACGTGCGACAATTGCTCCTGATTATTGTCTTGGTCACTCTCCTTCGCATGATGTAATGTCTCGCTTCTCGCTGCCATTGCTCTGTCGAGCCTGCAGCCACTGGCATGTTCACCAGGCACCAGGAAAGGGAAACGGTCAACCGTAGCTAGCTACATTGCATTGCTGGAAGCAAGTGGCCCATGCAGATCTGAGATTAATCCGTGCGAGCTTGCATGCCGGCGAGGTTCGAAAGTATGTGTAGGAACCCAGGATAGACACAGACAGCAGACGCAGCGCACCAGCTGGCTGGGTAGTGGCTGCCATCTTGGGCACGCACCTTCAGGGCGTTGGTGTTGAGCGCTTGCGACGTGTGCCGTTGAGGCAAATGCAGTCTGTCGCCACTCGGCTTGCCATAGAGTCCGTGGACCTTCACTTGCAAGCCCGGCTCTCGGGAAGCCAACAGGAGCAGATCTGGTCCAATGCAGCAGACACGGTGGAGGTCTCAGATTTGGACGGTGCTTTCGGCGAGGCCGAAGGTGGAATGCTTCTTCCCTCTGAGGTCAAGGGAATTGGCGGGGTGGCCGAGAGTAGTTTCGCTTTGTTGTCCCAGCTGGTGGAGGAGCGGTATGTCCATGCACCCGCTCGCCTGTTGCGCAAGTTAGTTGCAGGATGCTATGGTGGAGCCCACTCCGCCGAGAGACACGCTGCCCAGGCCCGGACCAGCTATCAATATGCCTCACTTCCTGAGTTCATGGACTTTAAACTTTTTGGAGCACCATTGACCATTCTAATGGTAAATCAACAATCTTTCAATCTTAAGGCTCTGCACCCGCTTCATACCAGGGAGAAGCCCCTGGAGCATGCGGGCTACCAGCAAGCGCCAGACTTCAACAGTCTGATCCTACCCGCGGCAAAGCTCCCCAACACCCTCTCCGAAGGACGCCATGGAGCCTATACTGAGAGCGCTGGCAATGTGGGAATGGCCTGTCAGGAGACAAGGTGCACGCGATGTCCTCAGGCTTTCTGAGCCAAGGATGGATATCAAAACATGTGCTTGCCCCTGCTAAGGTCTGGAGCAAGTCGAAGGGAACTTGGATAGAGGATGGGTTTGTACAGGAGGTGTCGAAGTATGATGTGTTGGCTACTCAGTCGGCCTCACTGGCACACTGAATTCCCTCTGCGACAGTCTGGCTTTGCGTGACACAGGCAAATTCTTGGTGACGTTGTCATGAAGGGCTCCGTTTATGTTGTGTTCGACGCTGGCAGCAAGTCCAAATGGGCAAGGAGCTCAGCAACACCTTCTGACGTATGCATGTTGTGCAGTCTTCCTCGCACTTCGGACCAACAGATTGGCCAACCTCCCAGGTGCGACCTAGGGACATTGGCCATCTTCTTCGAACACCTGGTGCAGTCGTGCAGGCCTGTTGGCTTGTCTGCACCAAGCTGGCAACAGTTGGGCAGCTGAATTAGGCAGACTGTGCTAGCCCTTCGAAATCCGCGCCCGAGGAAGGCCGCGCCAGAGAATCTTTGGTGGCGTGAAATGTACCAAGCCAGGCTCTCCAAGCGCTGGCGCACATGCCGCGACTCCGGACAGCAGGTCCAGCTTGGGATCTTTCTTTGGGTTCGAGTTGCGGCTTCATGTTGTCGTTGGAGTGTTTGTTTTGCGTGAAGAGACTCGACGAGGCCTGGCTCAAAAAAGGGCACCGACAGCATAACTTGCCACAACAGGCGGTAGCCCGCCCATGGTTGTCGAGGTGAGTCCTCCAAGACAACAAAAGTTGGAAGTGGTGATCCGCCATAGACGGAACGAGGCCTCGCATCATTATTTTTGCGTTTGGCTGAACACGCGCACTCCATAGATCTCCAGGGTAAAAACCGAGACCTTTGGGGCTGCAATGAGCAATGCTTCCGCTGCTGCTCCTCCTCCTTTCGCTTGCCTCATCAACACCCCCGGCAATCTATGATGCAACCAATTTGTCGGCAGTGACTTGGAAGGAACGCCCACGGCTTGTCAATTTTGGTTTGTGGCAGCATCTGGCTGTTGATGTGTGAGCTTTGATGTTTGGGTGCGTCTCAGGTTCGTTGGGCCCCGGAGGGCGCATGCCGCGTGCTGCACTGGCCAAGCGTGGCCTTGCAGCAGGAGCTGCCTTCTGGGGCTGCAGATGCCTTTGTGCCTGCCTTAGTGTTTTCAGACGACATGGTGTTTGTTTCGCTGCTATGCTGTTTCGCTGCTTTGCTGTTTCGTTGCTTCGCTGCTTTGCTGCTTTGCTGCTTTGCTTTGCTGCTCAAAAACAACAGCCTCTGCACTTTGCTGAAGCACTTTGATGAGGACATCATCATTACGGATGACACGCAGAGGGTCCCGTGGTTGACAGCGCAAGGCAAGTTCTATTTCCTGGAGAATCGTGACTTCGCGCTCGGTGATTTATCGCGAGAGCTCGCCCAGCTGAAAGAAGCGGCGCCGATAGAGTGGCGAAGGGAGGGCATGTCTGCGGCACCCTCAGTTGCTTCCCAGGTGCCAGTGCCTTTGCTGACCCCTTATATAGCTTCTTTATTTCCCTCTTTGAGTGCAGCTTGGAGCCCAGGTCTTGTTGCCCTCCTTGCTCAACACCCCTGGGCTGCAGCAGGCTTTTGAAGAGGCCAAAGTCATGATGCCAGCGAGCTACTTCCTGGATGATGGCACCTTCCCAACTCGAAACGCGGCCTTTGCAAACTTTACCTTCTCCGTGTTGCTTCTTCTGGACCAGGACAGGGGCACGCCTCCGCAAAGCCTTATCGACTGCATTGCACATGGCACCGTGCCCATGATTGTCGGCAAGCACCACAAATTGGACTACACCCGGTATTTCTCATACGCAGTGGCAAAGTTTCGGGACTTCTCAGTAGAGCAGGCCATCACCTTCATGTTGACAGCCCCATCCGATGCCCTCTATGTGTATGCGAACTCTGTCAAGATCGTGCAGGAGTTTTTCTACATGAGGCAAGGCATGTGGGGTCAAAGCTCATTCTGCTCCGGCAGAATGTGCACAAACAAGTGGCCACACTCCATGCCTTCTTTTGAAATATGTGCTGTTGAGCAAGATCCTTTTCCTTTCGCCTAATTAAGTAGAATATGTCTGAGTTGCTCAATGGAACCAAGGTACCGACATCCTTTTCACCTGCGCTTGCAGCACCACGCCCGCATGGCCTGCCATGCTTTGAGGACTCCAACTCCACCACTGGTTACTTGGCGGTGCTTGCGCTATCACCAACCCGCTGTCTTTCACGTTGGACGTGTGGTTTGGCAGTTGCCTTTGTGTAACCGTTTTGTAGCGGGGAAATGGGGAAATCCGAAGCCAAACATCACAAACCAAAGGAAGGGCGATTGGCTAAGTTTGCTTACAGCATGCGCCACCATGGGTCCTCGTGAGCTGTGTTTCCCATGTTCGCGCCACGATTCACATCCTTCCCTATTTCTTCGAGGCAGTGAACAGGATGTTTGGCAGAAGGGCCGCGCTTGCTTGATTTTGACAGGCATCTTGCAGTTTTGCCTGTTTTCATGCTCAGGCCTTCGTCTCGATTTATTCTGCAAAGAAAAACTTTGCGAGACGTCTGGCATTGAGAGACACCTGGCTTCCTGTTCTCACGGGCCATGGCATTGCACACAAGTTCTTCTTGGCAGGCACGGCAGTTGATGACACCGAGCTGGATAGTTTGCTGCGACGTGAGCGAGATATTTTTGATGACATGATTTTCCTGGTTGGCACAACTGATGAATACCCTATTGGTAAGAAAGGATTGGCGGCCCTTTTGTGGGTTGCTCACCACACGGAGGCTCAGTTCTGGTTGAAGTTTGACGATGATTTGTACGTCCGGCCACAGTTGGTTTTGAGCCGGCTAGCAGGGATGCAGCGTGCAGAAGTGTACTGGGGCGCCTTCGACTACAGTGGCCTTGTGGTGCGCGACCCCGCGGACCCGCACTACACGTCCATGTCCATTTGGCCTGAGCCTGTTTTTCCACCCTACGCGCGTGGTGCCGCTCTTGCGATGTCGATGGATTTGGTCCGCCTGATCGCACTGCATGAAGAGCAAATGCCGCTAAAGAAGATAAAGGCCGCTTATGATGCACGAGCTGCCTTGAACCACCGGCACATGTCATGTGGCATTTCAACGTGCCCTTGTGTGCTTTAACCGGGTCGGGTTCCTGCCCTGAAGGTGGAAGATGTTTCTTATGGTTTCTACCTGTGGCAGCTCATTTATGACCGTGCAGTGACCTCCGTGACACTGTATGACAGGGACGAGATCCATTTTTCTATGGATGCGAAATGTTGCACAGAGCAGACCCATCCCAACAACTGCTGGCTGCCGCTGACAGCAGACACGTGGATCGTCCATCATGTGTCACCGAGCGTCATCCGCTGCATGTTTGCAAAAGATATCGAGTCAGGCTTCTTCGAGGTCACTGCAACAGAAACGCGTGGTTCGCAAAGGCTATTGCAAGAGATGGCGGAGCACGACAAAGCTGTGCACGGCGCTGTGGGCAGCATACAGAAAGCCAGAGTGGGTACTGGCGGACCTGCCGACTTGTGCGGCTGCGTGGTGACACCACCAGCGCATCCTGGCCAGCCACTGCAGGGCGGCAGGTTACAAGAGCTCAGTTCTGGGCCTAGGTTGCACGGATGAAAAGAGCAGTGTCGCATAAGCGAGTGGACTTTGGCTGCTGGGCCTTGATGTAGTAGAGCTCTAACGCAACAAAGTGAAATATATTTGACAAGGCTTGGTTTGGAAGACCCGCAGGCTTACAGTTGCCCCCGAATACCCAACACCAAGGAGGCAAGCCCTTAAACCCTGAAACAGCAGGATGATCAACCCCTGACAGTGCCTGCCAGGATGGCTGAGTTGCACGCCTTGCGTGCCCAGCGTGGGCAATTCAAGGATGAGCAATTCCCCCCAACACCTTCGGGCCATTGCCTTATAGCGAGTGGCTAGGAACTCGTGAGAGTGGTGCGGAGTGGCATTGGAGTCATGTTTCAGTGGGCAGCAGTTTGCCGTTTTTGCGCCTTTGCTTTGATGAAATGGGTGAGTGACTGGCCCTTTCCTCTTCAGTGGCACCGAGTGATGCATAAGCAGAGTCCATAGATTAAATGGGTGAAAGACTGACCCTTTCCTCTTCAGTGGCACCAAGTGGTTCATAAGCAGAGTCCATAGATTAATTGGGTGAGTGACTGGCCCTTTCCTCTTCAGTGGCACCGAGTGATGCATAAGCAGAGTCCATAGATTAAATGGGTGAGTGACTGGCCCTTTCCTCTTCAGTGGCACCAAGTGATGCATAAGCAGAGTCCATAGATTAAATGGGTGAGTGACTGGCCCTTTCCTCTTCAGTGTCACCAAGTGATGCATAAGCAGAGTCCATAGATTAAATGGGTGAGTGACTGGCCCTTGCCTCTTCAGTGGCACCGAGTGATGCATAAGCAGAGTCCATAGATTCAATGGGTGAGTGACTGGCCCTTTCCTCTTCAGTGGCACCGAGTGATGCATAAGCAGAGTCCATAGATTAAATGGGTGAGTGACTGGCCCTTTCCTCTTCAGTGGCACCGAGTGATGCATAAGCAGAGTCCATAGATTAAATGGGTGAAAGACTGGCCCTTTCCTCTTCAGTGGCACCAAGTGATTCATAAGCAGAGTCCATAGATTAAATGGGTGAGTGACTGGCCCTTTCCTCTTCAGTGGCACCGAGTGATGCATAAGCAGAGTCCATAGATTAAATGGGTGAGTGACTGGCCCTTTCCTCTTCAGTGGCACCAAGTGATGCATAGGCAGAGTCCATAGATTAAATGCGTGAGTGACTGGCCCTTTCCTCTCCAGCGGCACCGAGTGATGCATAAGCAGAGTCCATAGATTAAATGGGTGAGTGACTGGCCCTTTCCTCTTCAGTGGCACCAAGTGATGCATAAGCAGAGTCCATAGATTAAATGGGTGAGTGACTGGCCCTTTCCTCTTCAGATTAAATGGGTGAGTGACTGGCCCTTTCCTCTTCAGTGTCACCAAGTGATGCATAAGCAGAGTCCATAGATTCACTGGCTGAGTGACTGGCCCTTTCCTCTTCAGTGGCACCAAGTGATGCATAAGCAGAGTCCATAGATTAAATGGGTGAGTGACTGGCCCTTTCCTCTTCAGTGTCACCAAGTGATGCATACGCAGAGTCCATAGATTAAATGGGTGAGTGACTGGCCCTTTCCTCTTCAGTGGCACCGAGTGATGCATAAGCAGAGTCCATAGATTAAATGGGTGAGTGACTGGCCCTTTCCTCTTCAGTGGCACCGAGTGATGCATAAGCAGAGTCCATAGATTAAATGGGTGAGTGACTGGCCCTTTCCTCTTCAGTGGCACCGAGTGACGCATTAGCAGAGTCCATAGATTAAATGGCTGAGTGACTGGCCCTTTCCTCTTCAGTGGCACCGAGTGATGCATAAGCAGAGTCCATAGATTAAATGGGTGAGTGACTGGCCCTTTCCTCTTCAGTGGCACCGAGTGATGCATAAGCAGAGTCCATAGATTAAATGGGTGAGTGACTGGCCCTTTCCTCTTCAGTGGCACCAAGTGATGCATAAGCAGAGTCCATAGATTCAATGGGTGAGTGACTGGCCCTTTCCTCTTCAGTGGCAGCGAGTGATGCATAAGCAGAGTCCATAGATTAAATGGGTGATTGACTGGCCCTTTCCTCTTCAGTGGCACCGAGTGATGCATAAGCAGGGTCCATAGATTAAATGGGTGAGAGACTGGCCCTTTCCTCTTCAGTGGCACCGAGTGATGCATAAGCAGAGTCCATAGATTAATGGGTGAGTGACTGGCCCTTTCCTCTTCAGTGGCACCAAGTGATGCATAAGCAGAGTCCATAGATTAAATGGGTGAGTGACTGGCCCTTTCCTCTTCAGTGGCACCGAGTGATGCATAAGCAGAGTCCATAGATTAAATGGGTGAGTGACTGGCCCTTTCCTCTTCAGTGGCACCAAGTGATGCATAAGCAGAGTCCATAGATTCAATGGGTGATTGACTGGCCCTTTCCTCTTCAGTGGCAGCGAGTGATGCATAAGCAGAGTCCATAGATTAAATGGGTGATTGACTGGCCCTTTCCTCTTCAGTGGCACCGAGTGATGCATAAGCAGGGTCCATAGATTAAATGGGTGAGAGACTGGCCCTTTCCTCTTCAGTGGCACCGAGTGATGCATAAGCAGAGTCCATAGATTACATGGGTGAGTGACTGGCCCGTTCCTCTTCAGTGGCACCGAGTGATGCATAAGCAGAGTCCATAGATTACATGGGTGAGTGACTGGCCCTTTCCTCTTCAGTGGCACCAAGTGATGCATAAGCAGAGTCCATAGATTCAATGGGTGAGTGACTGGCCCTTTCCTCTTCAGTGGCACCGAGTGATGCATAAGCAGAGTCCATAGCTTAAATGGTTGAGTGACTGACCGGCCCTTTCCTCTTCAGTGGCACCGAGTGATGCATAAGCAGAGTCCATAGATTAAATGGTTGAGTGACTGACTGGCCCGTTCCTCTTCAGTGGCACCGAGTGATGCATAAGCAGAGTCCATAGATGAATTGGGTGAGTGACTGGCCCTTTCCTCTTCAGTGGCACCAAGTGATGCATAAGCAGAGTCCATAGATTAAATGGGTGAGTGACTGGCCCTTTCCTCAGTCCAGCTGCATGAGTCGAATGGCAGCAGTGCCTGTGCAGTGCAAGCAAAGGCCGGATTCAGAAGTGGTGCAGGCGCATTACCCAGGAGCCCTTTCATGTGCTGCTTCGGTTCAATATGGACAGGCCGCACGAAATCGGCGTTCACGACGGAAGGGTTCTTTGGCGCCGGGAGGACTGCGTTATTTTTTCTTCTTTGAACATGTCGGTATCACCGCCCATCGCAAGGATTGGCAGCTTTTCCGCGGCGAGCCGCGTGCAGACGATGTGCAGCAGGGCGAGCCTTTCGGCGGGCATGGGCCATCGCAAGGTGATTGCAGTCGTGCACCGAGTCGAACAGATGCACCGAGTCGATGATGCCAAGGCTTGGCGACTGCTGGTTCTTGTCCTCGCTGGCAGCCATGGCCGAGTTTCAGAATGGAAAGCTCGTCCAAAGGCCAGCCCTGGAAGCGCCCCGCGTTGGACGACATAGAGCCTCCGCATTTTCATCAATGCGCAGCGCCATCTGGAGATCGCAGTCTATTGGCTCAAACGCAGCCTCGCAACGCAGCTTGCTTCAGCGGGCATGTCGGTGATTCCAAGCAAGAGTCGCTTGGCTTGCGCTCCATGAAGCCTTTGTATTTATATCAAGTGGTGCAACCAATGTCGTAAGTGAAAAGTCTTCAAGCACGGAACGGACAGACAAAAATACCCTGGCCGTTAATCAGACAAACATCACAAGCGTGTCTCCTGTCGTTTGCTCATGTGTTTTTGCTATGCTCATGCTTCTTGGAGCTTGCTGCAAATCTGAGCCCAGGCTGTAGCAGGCCCATTATTCCAGAAGCACATTTAGTGAGCCTCACTTGCATTTGGCTGATTTGTTGAGGGTTTTCCTGAGAGCTGTTGGCAAGTGGCTTTCGCTGAGGCTGGCCTGGATTTTCTCTTTGGTGGCGTTTCCGCTGTGGGCCCACTATGGCCTCCATGTTGATTCAGCTCCCTGGCAAAGAGCGGAAGACCACCCTATGTTTTTGTGTGATATTTGGGGCTTTGCCATCCATAGACTCACAGCGGGCTTGGGGCGATGCAGCATTCAGGTGGATTTGCTGCTCTTGATAGTGGCGCATGTGGTAGCTTCCTCAGCTGGTAGACTTCGCTTTGGTATCTGTTTCGACGTCGCTTTTTTTTGTGCTTTGCAGAGTGCCGCAAGCTCAAACAGCTTCAAACAGTGAGGCTGATTTGCAACTCTGAGCTGCAGGTGTGCTTGCCCATTATCAGTCCACGATTGGATGCGGCAGTTGTGCCAGCAATTGGCTGCGCCGCTTGTTTGAAAGGCATTTCCTTTTGCCCGGGCGGCCCGTGACGGCTTGCATCGCTCAGGTCGTCATTGGACTAGCAATCGGCTGCGAATTGGTAGACATGTGCTTCGACTCCCTCATCTACTGGGATGTTACCCTGACGGATGGCGATGGCGTGATCTCCGGGCGCAAAGCTGCTCAGCCAGGTTACTCGCTTGGAAGTGAAGCTGCGATTGGAGCAGTTAGGTTGCTTTTCTGTACTATAACACCATGCTGAAGGCAAGGCATATCAACTTCTCAATCGAATCTGGTCAGCAGTGTGGACTAGCGTTGCAAAGCGTAACTTGCTGCTGGCGATGTGCATTCCCGTGATGAGGAATTGTTCTTGCTGGTCGGGCAGTTTGGTGCTCTTGTGGGTTTGACCCGGCAGCTTGGACGTCACAATTTGCATGAGTCGCCAAAGCTTGATGGATATTTCAGGCACGTCTTGATTTCAATTTGTTAAACCGAGGAGTCCGCCCAAAGTTCGCCAGAGACTTGCACGCATTGGCTTTCCCCACCTTTGCAGTATTTTGCAGCGGTTAAATAGCAAGACGGGCAGATGTTTCGCCCAGGAATCGCATTGGGCATCGAAAATTTGGTTCCCCCAAACTTTGAGACTTCAGAGGCTGAAAGCTGAATCAACAGACGCGGGCGCACTGCAGGGCCTGGAAGGGTTTGGTAGCTACTATGATTTCTGGCAATGGCGGCTATCTCACCTCTGTAGTACCGCGCAACTTGGCTGGCATGCTTGGGCTGCAAGGGAAGGTGTGAATGTCACATGTTGAAGCGGGCCAATGCACCGAAGGCTATTTGGGCATCCGGTTTGCCACCGAGTTCGATGAAGCTTCCGCCCGCAGTTGGTTTGCGACACCTGCTAGCCACATGTGAGGCTGTTTTCTGCCAGCGTATTACTCAGGAGGGATTTTTTGATGGATGGTCCTGGGTGATTGCTGCCCGATTCTACCTCCTGGTGAATTTGCTTATAGACGCTTGACTTGAACAAATCAAACGCATGGATTGTGAAACCTTTCGTGGCTGCCACTTGTGCGTAACGGAGGCCATTGGGTTGCTCATGGTGATCCTCTCAGACACTCAGGCATTGAAGGATTGCCGTGCCGCTGTGTTTTGCCGGATTGTCGATCTGACCACCGGAGGCCGACAAACTTCACACGAAGTGACGCCAACACGGCGACCTGTGGCCGGCATATCGCGGCCCGAAACCGGGCCTTTGCCATATGTGCAGAGATTTCGGCGAGATTTGATCTGCGCCGGCCAGCTTTCCCCTCACTTGCCTATCCCCGCTTTTGAATGCGGCGTGAGCGCTGTTTGCCCTTGACTGGCAGAGTTTGTTGGTCATTCTGCCCGGTCGTGGGCCACGGGGTGCGGATGCTGCCATACAGGCACATACCACCAGATGGCCATGCCATGGTGCCAGGGGGAGTTCTAGGCTCTCAGGAAAACAGATGGGTACAGAGGCCCAGCTGCTTCTCCGACCCTTGACCTCGCCGGAGCACTTGGGAATTGCCCAAGGAGCTCCGCTCCTTTGCTGCTTGGACAGCCAGGAGGGCAAAAAGGCAAGAAAGCGCAGAGAGGGTTCGTTGCAATGGCGCTCGAATTTGGACACGAACTCTGTGTCCTACCGACATGTCAACATGTATCAGTCAAGGCTCCCTCGCATGTGCGCATGCTTCACGTCAGGCTGCTGCCTGACCAGCAGAACTTCAGCCCGGCCGGAGTTGCAATCTTGGAAATATGGTATGAGTTGTTGCTTGGTATTCTTAAGCTCACCCAGGTGTACTTGGTGCGCCTGTGGCTTTCCGGCCGCTGGCGTGACATCATTGTCGATGACCAACTTCCCTGCGTCGGAAACGGGGTTGGGACGTGCGCAACTCAAGACAGAGCGACACAGCGGCCAGTGAGGCATGCACAGAGGCGGAAATCTTGCGCGAGCAAAAGGTACAGGCAATTAGCATACTGCTCTACTCGGCGTTGTGTTGGCCTGAGACATTGGACTCCCCCTCCACGATTTCTCGCTCTCCGAGCATTTGTGCACTTTGAGTGCTGTTGAGGAGCACGTTCATGAGTCGTGGGCGGGGCATCTCAAGCGTCCTTCAATTCTTCTAGAATTGCAGCATTCCTCTCACGCCGAAATGGCTGGAACATGGCGGCACAAGCTCAAATTGCTGGATTTGCTGCTCAGGCCAGCTTTGGGCCAGCATTATCGAAAAGGCATTTGCCAAAGCCTGCGGCTCGTACGAGGCACAGATCTCGCAAAGCCTGTGTCTGGGATGCAGGTGTTTGACAGTCGCTTTGGGAGGCCTCTTGTGTTGAAGTGACTTGGCAGGCCTTGGTGGGTGGCGAGGCGGAAGAGGCATTATCGGTTCTCACAGGCTGGCCCTGTGAGACGATCCAGTTCGACCGCGAGGAGCGTGCATGTTGTGCCGGCCCAACTTGACAAGTAGTGAAATCTCTGGACCATGTTCAGCCTCAGCACTTTGAAAGGGCAGATGCCCTTTGGTCGACGGAAGCTGGCCAGTGACCATTGAACCAATGCGAAAGCGGCAGGATTTCGACTCCAGCATCCTTTGGGCAACCATGTGCACATCAAGAGATGCCAGCCGACTGCAATATTTGCTATGTCAGATTCTGAAGATGCACAGTGCCACATGTTCATGCAGAGGCGCGCTTTCTGATGACGGTGTCGACCAGTTCTGGCAAGTCGCGCAGTGATGAGGACCACTCCATTGTGCCGAGGGCTGTTGCTAAGCAAATGACACAAACTCAGTCGCTGATCGAATTCGGAGGCTTGCATGCAGTCTTGGATAACTGTTTGGTGCTTTGGCACGGGTAGGCTCCTGTGCAAAAGGTGTGCATGGAATGCCAGGATATCCGAGCTGTGGGCCTTGTGCCAAATCATGCCTACTCTCTGATTGACGCGGGGCACTGAAGGGCAAAGCAAGACATGGCTGACCATGCTGACCTGAAGCATCTAGGTTCTTGATGTTCTGGACGCCGGTCTGCCTCCTAGCATTTAGCGGTTGTTCATTCCACTGCCCATCTTCTCATCAAGCAGAAGCATCAGCATGTAGCGGGTTCTGTGCCCAGCAGAGGTGCCTTGACACTTTGCCTTTGTGTACGTCCCTCCGATTTGACTGCAGGCGGCGACCGGGTGCGCTTGTTGAAGATCAGGAACCCGCATGCACAGGCGAGCTGCGCGTCTCAATGTGCACCATGGCCACACTACTGCGTTGGAGGGGCGGAGTGAGACCTGTCTGCCGGGAGGACAAGTGGCGTGGAAATTGGTCCGAGTCCAGTCGCTTGTGGACACCAGAGCTTCGTCAGCGTGTGGGCGCTGCAAAGGCCATGGAGGCAGAAGCGGCGCATAGCCGCATAGCATGTGGCACTGGAGATCCACCCGAGTTGGGGAGTTGGGCCCGGCCTCTTTCAGGCAGGCATGTTCTTCATGGGCTACGGAGACTTCTTGAAATGGCCACGGCCTGAACCAACGTCCTAAGCATCGATGTGCCAGGCGTGTTTGTCTGAGGTTTGAGCGGTGCACTATCTGCAAGGTTCAGGGCGATGGCTGGCACAAGGCCCTCAGCCCTTTCTGCGGAGGTGCGCACGAGTGCACACAGGAGTGGAGTTGTCAGGTTCGTATGCCCACGCCGTTGCCTGGAAATTCAGCAGCCCCAAACCAGGGCCAGAGGCCAAGGTGGCACACAGGGGAGATGTTCATGTAGCAGTCTGCTAGTCCTGGTGTTGCGAGTGCGGTCTCAGGATGGATGCTGAGTGTCTCAGTGGCTTGGATGCAAATCGCGTGTGCTTCTCCAATCATGGGTGCTGGGCATGAGGAGATGACGGAGTGTTCTGGCCTTACGGCAAGCTGCTCAGCTGCCCAGCTGGCCCAGTCCAATGTTGCTCAGGTTGCCTGGCCATCGCGCAGCCTCAGGATCGGGCTCGCTCTGGTCCATTGCGTCGCACTCAGCTTTGCTTCTTCGGCATTCGTCTTGCTGTGTGCGCAAGCCAGTCTGAGGTTTCAGGACCTGAAGCTAGGCCCAATCCAGCATGCGGGCTTTGTTTTGGCTGTTGCCTCAGACTTTGGGCACGTTCCGAAATTTGCTTGCCAGCTTGCGGTGACAAGCGTCGACAAACTGCGGCGCAAAAATCAACGATGGCACGAGTATGATGCTTTTTTGTGGTCGCATGACTCAGGTCTCTGTGGAAGAGGGCGCGCAACAACAGAAGCCACTGTCGGTTGCAGCGCCCTGCCCAGAGATTGACCATGGTGGGCAAGCACTGTTACGCTGTTGCATGTGAGCAGGTGGGGCATCCACGTTCCCGACCTGTGGTCTCTGCTGATTGCTGGCTGAAGCCAGGCACGTCAATCCAAGGCTTGCCCGGAAGCACGCGCACTATCTTGATCCAGGCTTCCTGTACTACTTGCTTCCCCTCAGCTTGATGGAAGGGCCAGAGGTTCCAGCTGCGTCATCCTTGGAATGCAATGCAGTTTTCAGGAGGCTCGCATATTGTGCGCTGCAATGCCCGAGTCTTCACCGAAGTATGGCCTGATTGCTCAGGTGCTTTCATGTTTCAGCAGGAAAGCTGTGCAAATCCGAGAGCACTCATTCTCCAACATGGTGGCTTGTCTTGGCTTGTAAATGGGCGGGCTGGCTGGTGATTGGGATGCGGTGACTTTAAGGAAAACCTGCGTGGCATCTAAGGGTGTCGTGACATCATGGGCAACATTTGTGAGGCCTGCATCTGCGAAACTGGGACGTCTCACTATGTTGTGAGGGGACTTCAAACTGCTCCACGCAGCTGGAACTCGCGTTTGCATTTTTGCTGGCTTGTGAGTCGGTCAGGTTCAGCGCCCACAGACCTGACAACTTCCATGGCGCCATGCACCTGCCCCAAATCCCCAGCTGCCAGCTGCTCAGCCCTGCTCAGCCATCGGAAATGTAGCCCATCGAGGGTTTACACCACCAAAAGCAACGGCGGCATGGTGGTTAGCATGGCCCGGGCCATAGAAAGGTCAAGGCAGCTGCGTGTAAGCCGCGCGGCCGCACGAGCCTTGCGCTGAGGCGGAGAACCACGGCAAGGGCCACTTCCAGGCCTTTGAGACGGAAATGCGCCATGGCCGGCTGGGCGGTTTCAGTTTCAGGTGGATCTGGACTTCCAGCAGCAGGGCTGTGAGCTTGCGTTCTCCAGGCATCCAAAGTTCATTCGAATTCACGCTGCGGGCAATTTGCCATTCTCAATCCTCAACAGCCAAGTGCAGGGATTTCCTTGCGTACTTTAAGCCATTCAATGCTGGGGTTTAGCTGCTGCGCAGGGGCAGTAGCTGCACAAAAGATTGGATTGGTCCAGGGCAAGCTCAGATCCTACAGGCGTTGGGGCTTGTTTTGTGAGTCTTTTACACTTGTGCTCTTGAGCATGGCGCAGGTAGTGCTTCCACTCGGCTCGGGTGGCGGTTGGCGAAGCAGTATTAAGTATCAGATGCGTTTCCTTCGGCGGGGGCCCTACATGAACATGCAAGAGCAGTGCTGCCGCTTGCCAATCAGTTTGTGCGACCCGCAACAACCCAGCAATTCCCTCTGCCTGACTGCGCGTTTGGGCTCAAAGCGTTGCCTTTGAGCTGGCTGCCGCGCATTGAGCCTTTTATGCAGCTGCAGATGGGTTGATGTGGACCAAGGCGTTCAATGTTGTTTGCTTTGGCGGCGGACTTTGCATTTTGGCAAGCTGAGGAAGCTTCCAAGAAGCGTCACTGACTGCCGGTGTCCATGTGCAACGACAGTGAGTCAGAAGCCGCGGACCTCGCAGGCGGAGTCTCTGGGCTCACAATTTGTGTGAAGGTAGTCGTTGGGTTTGCCTGCCACTCTGGTTTTATGGCTTGAATCAGGCAAACCTCAGCTTTGCATGCGGCTTGGCAGACAAGAGGGGTTGCAAACGGAGGTGACGGGCCTTTTCGCGAGCAGGCCCCCAGGCTTGCTGGACCCACCGGGCCTCTCAGCGCCGAGCCCTCGCACACCTAATGGCCAGGCGGGGTCGGGGAACAGGCTGAGACTCGCGGCATTGTTTGCATGCCCCCTTTGTGTGCTCCTGTGGTCAGCGTATCTCTGTGCACATGATGGTAATTGTCATTAAATAACAACCGCATGAGCCCCCATTTTTTTGACTCTTTTCTCAGTGCACTCGGCCTTGTTGTCCATACGGCTCAGCTGAATCATGGATTGGGCTGGTGGCTTCGGCTGGCAGTTTCTCCGCACTGTAGACAACGGCTTAGCGATCCTGGCGCCTGGCCGCCTGGCTGGCGCCAATGGTTTGGGGTTTAGGGTTTAGGGTGCGCAGAGGGTTCAGATCAATCTGTAAGTTGAAGCATACCTTCAGTTCATAGAGATGCTTGGAAGCACATCTTCAGTCTGCGAGCTGCAGCTGCGTGAAGGACCTTCAGAGCCATTGTAACTGCAACGGCCATGTGGCTGTGTCCAAAAGGAGGCCGTTGACGAATGTTCAAGGCTGCTGCTGCGTGCGGAGGAAGGTTTGATACATGCGTGGCATGTGAAATTGTGTTTTCACGTGGCAGGGTGTTGGCGGATGTATGGCGGATGTAGCATTTTGTGGTGCACGGCCTCTCCCAAGAACCCAATTGACAGCAGCGGCCTTGTCGCATCTGCCACCAGCAGGCAGAGGACAATGCCAGCCACTTCTGCTCATCATCAAATGGCGGCCACTTGGCGCAGGAAGAACGGGGGCGCTCAAGTGACTGCTTGATCCACGGTGAGAATAGCAATGTCATGTCATGTTGGCAAGTTTGGCTCTTGAGGCGATGAGACGTCTAGGCCACTTGGCCCGTTGAGCATGCACAGCTCCAACGGTGCATATTCTGAGCCAAGGATTCCATGCACTGCCGGGGGCAGAATACCAATTCCAAGTGATTTTACACACTGCCCACATTTGCAGAGTTTTGTACGCTGCGGGCCTCATCACCGCGCTGAGCTTTGCATGCTTAACAAAGACGACACTTGTCTCTACTGGCCCTGTTTCAGAGAAACTGCGAGCGAGTGGCAAGTAAGGACATCCGGAAGTTGCATGACATATGGTCGAGATATCGCGATGACCTTTGCTCCCCTCAGCACTCTGAAAAACCAACTTTCTCCCCGGAGGACGCTTGGCTAAGCCATGCTTGCGGCGGCTTGGCGCATTTCAGACCCTGACCTGACAGAGGATTTTGACACTTTCTACCGCATAGCGCAGAAGGTTGTGGATGCCATGGTGGAGGAGTACAGGGTGCCAATGGTTCTAGATCAAGCAACGATCAGCAACACCAATCACAAGGGACATCCGCCTCATGCTGACACTTGGCTGCACCGTTACTGGCAGGCTGTGGATGTTTGTGGTCCACCTAGGAGGCAGGCACATGAGCAGGTGACTCACTATAATTTCCCTTGTCCGGAACAAGCAACTTTGACTGTGGCTTATGGGGTTTGGCTGCGTAGGCCTATCCTACCTTTGATTGCTCAGGACAATGTGCGCTTCGATTCTGTTTGGTGGCATGGCAAGCGCATCACTGGCGAGGATGAACTTCCAGCAGCCAGGAAAGGCGCCTACATACTTTGGAGAGCGGAGAAGACTTCGTATAGGAGTTATAGCTGCTCTGTGTCGCTGACTGATCCCAATGGATCCTCAGCAGCAGGACATTTTCTCCCACCTTGATTCTGCCAATGCTCAAAGCAAAGGTCCGTGACGCGCTTTCTGGAAACTGACAGGGCCGAGTGAGCGATATCGCTTTTGCCCAAATAGTGAACGCACATGTTGAGCAGTATTGGCGTTTCAACAGTTATCCGCAGGAAAGCTGCCCAGGCTTGCACTGTTCCTAGCATTCCTCATAAACAAAAAAGCTGGCATGGCACAATTCCCAGACATGAAACTGTTCATGTGCCCGGGCTGTGTCACAAATCGGACGTGTTGAGCGCTGCTAAATCCAAGGCTATGAAGGTGGAGAAATACAATTCTTTGACAGGTGGGGGTCGTCCCCCGTGGCCAGCTACAAGTGTGCTGAGGGATGTGGAATTGCCTTTTGCGGATGCCACAAAAATATTCATGCAGTCACAGGTGTCAGACGGGGTTTTCGGCTGGTTCTCCTTGTGTGGACAAGACCGCCTGGCGCTCGAGTTCCAGATGCGCAAGGAACTGTTTGCTATTTTCGACCTGGCACAGGGCGCGGCTGTTGGCTGCACACGGCGGAAATTCAGCGCGGACTGGCGAGAAGAGCTGGAAGGGACGGAGCTTGGGTTCCTCGAGATGTTGACGACGAGACGTGCCAATGTCAAGACTGCTTGGCAGAGAGGACCAAGGTATCCTGGAAAGACGCTTAGTTTGAAAAAGAAAGCGCAACGGGTCCGACCTGCCTGTTGCACAGACACACCGTGCTCTCCAAGGACTGCTTGCGCGACACGTGCATGCCCTCCAAGTCCACACCCAGCACCAGTGCGGGCAACTCACCTCGGAGTCCTAGTACTCCAGACAGCTTGGAGGATGGATCAGCGCCGCCGACTCTCCAAAGCAGGGGCTGGGGATCAAATTTATCCTATTACAGAAACGTGTGGGGTTTGTTGCTGTTGGGAGGGCCTGCTAATCCAGCGTTGGGCTCAGGAAGCCTGTGGGCGGTCCTCACGGGCAACCAAAGACATGGTGTGGACCTCATGAGCGACAAGAACTGCCCAACATCCTTTGTGATGATGACGTGAGGACAGGGATGTTGGCAACATTGCCGTGCAACAAGTTATATGCCTGCAATTGGGACTTGATTTTTGAGACATGCAGCACATGTAAGAAATGGGTGCAGCCGTGTTAGAATCTGTACCTGTATGCATATAAATGTGGATGTATATTGATGTTCAGGGCTTTCTTTTGCCTTGAGCCCGCTCATTGCCCTTGGCTTAGCTCCTCTGTTCCATGAGCAGTTGTGGTGTTGGTGTCTTCCCAGCAAAAGGGAAACCTGAACACTTCAGACGATTCTGCTTCCCACATGTATGCATGGTGAATCGGCCCAAGTTTCGAATAACTCGGCAATATGGCGAAACTGGGACGGGCTCGCCAGAATCGTCCAAAGCTTCAACGTGTCTTGAGTAGCTGGAAGCGGCAATCGCTTCCAGTCAACAGGTTTTCTGCGCAAAACGGTGGTGCTTCTGGAGGTTGCGGCCAAGTCGAGCTCGCAAAGTGCAACACCGCAAGGAACTTTGGATACAGTCGCAACACGTTCTCTTGGCTAAACAGTGATGATGCTGGAGGTGTCGACCAATTGTAAACGCTGCGCGCTGCCCGCCTCGGCCCAGCCGAGGGGGATGTGGGGGGGGGGGGGGCTGAGGCCGGTCTCAGACACGTCAGAGCGGCCTGGCTAGCATGCTTTGCAGTTTTTTTGCGTTTGCCGCGCATTTGCGGCAAAAAGCGGCCCATGGAATGTGCTGGCTGGGGGCTGTGTGTGACGGGTTGGAATGGTAGCCTCTGTGGGTTGCTGGTTGAGCTGGGCTTGCTGGGGCTAGGCCTGAGGCCAGTCTCAGACACGTCAGACAGGCCTGGCCAGCAGGAGGTTATGCTTTTTGGATCAACTAGGTTTTACGTTCTGCTATTTGCCGCGCATTTGCGGCAAGTGCTGGCTGGGGGCTGTCTGTGGCGGGTTGCTGGTTCCTGCTTGAAGGGTAGCCTCTGTGGGTTGCTTGTTGGGCTGGGCTTGCTGGGGCTAGGCCTGAGGCCAGTCTCACACACAGACAGGCCTGGTTAGCAGGAGCTTTGCAGCGGCCAAACGCGGCCCATGGAGCTGGACGCCAAGGAACCTCGAAAATTTAAAGGCCCGGATCTTAGGGCCAGCAGACATGGGTCAGGGGGTGGGGGCGTGGGCCGCAGAAATTTTGGGTGAAAAGCGAAGACTCCCTTTGGGAAACGAGACCTGAGCGCCCTCCAGTTTCGTGCTTAGCCTTTGCGTGGCGGAAATTAGTTATTAGCAAAACTATTCTGCCGCCCGCAGCTTGCCACACGTGTGCGGACCCTGCATCGCCCCAAGTTTCGAACATGTTTGTAAGTTTCCTACGGTTGGAGGACTTACTTGACTTTCGCATCGATCAGGTGAAGCCCTTTGGGGTACGCCACGGGTGTCAACGACATTGATCAGACTTTTTGTGGCAACATGTTCATAATTTCTTACATCGACGCATGTCATATACCAGCCAGTTTGCAAGTACCAACATACCACCCACATGCATCCGGCTGCTAAGGGCAGAGGGCACTGGGTCGGGTTCACCCTAGCCTATATGTATTTATATATACACATGTGTGTGTATATGCGTGTATATATATATATATATGAGATGTAAACATACATCTATGTGCGTGTCTAAGAGTGTGTCTGAGTGTGCGTGCATGTGCGTGTGCATGTGTGTGAGCAGGACTTTGCATGCAATCTGGCAAAGGCGCAGCACGACTTGCCAGCAGTGCACATCTGCTTGGCGGAATGCAAGCGCCCTAAGTTGCCTTTCAGGCATCATGACGACTTGACCCACCCGTGGTATAAGAACAAACCGCATCTGGGCACAATTTGGAGGTGATCACATTTTTTTGTGACAGGGTTACATTGCTTTGTGCTCGGCTGGCAAGATGCGTTTGCCCACTCTCCTTGCACGGATGTCCATTGAGTGGAAGCACATGTCTAAAATGAAAGCTTAGACAGATGCACCAGAAGCAGCTTTGTCAGACTCGCTCAGGAGGTTCTCTGGCAAAGAATTCAGTGAATTCCGCGGAATAGCACAGAAAGTCGTGGACGAACCTCAGCTGCTAAAACAGCAAGTTGCCCCCGGCATGTGCTAAATGCATCTAAATGCTCAATCGAGGCAATGGCTCTACAATTCCACATGCCTCTTGTCCTTGACCAAGCTGCGGTAAACAGCACCAACCAGCATGGGCACCCGCCACATGCTGACAATGTGCAGTTTGACTCTGTCGCTTGCCTGCACTTCCTCTGAACCAGGCTTTCTCACATACATGCACCTTCATGACTGCGGAGGTTTGGTGGGATGGGCGCCAAATCAAGCAACGAGATGAAGTGGAGGCAGCAAGAGGCGGTGCCGAAGTTCTTTGGAGACCATCAAAGACGAACTACAGGAGCTCAGCGTGTGAGTTGTCATGTTTGCCAGGGTCGCTGCCCAAACTCTAGCCCTATACCGCACCAGGAGTGAAGAGCAGTGATCATCAGTCCTTCAGGGGAATGGGATTGTGGGCGACCATCAAAATCATCCTTGGGAAACATGAGCGCTCTATGTGCTTGGAGTTTGCTCATGGCTCATGTAACAAACAAATCGCTACGTTGCGACACCATCAGAGCCGTGGGAGGAACTACAGTGCTTCCATCGCACTGACAGATCCGGATGAGTATGGCGGGGGCGAACTGCAATTCTTCAGCACCTGGGGTGCCCGTGGCACGGTTGCTGCATAAATACTTGGCAAATCACAGAGAATATGCCCTCTAATTCCCGGGGGGGGGGGGGGTTCGCATTGGGAATGGCGTGTGGACCAGGACACTAAGGACAGGATGTTGTTGGGGGGTTCTCTTTTTGTTGTGTTCGTTTTGTTCGTTCCTTTTTCCGCCTGGTTCATGATTCCCTTTTCGCTCTCAAAGCGACAGTGCCCCTTGTTTTTTGTCGCCGGCCTGCGCGGCAGAAGCCGCAGCCGTGGGTGGTTTGGGCTCACGCCCGGGTGGAGCGGGCTCACGCGCGGGTGGTTCGGGCTCACGCCCGGGTGGAAAGGGCTCACAACTGACTTGAGTCTTTGGCGGTGAGTGGGAGCGCTTTGGTGCGCGCCCAGCAGATCCAATCAACTCAGCGTGCCTTGACGGCTCCGTGGTGGGTCATGCCCGGGTGGCGCCTTGGTTCTTGGCTCGGGCCCGGGTGGCGCGGCTGGCCAGTCGGATCATTGTCTTCATGCATTAGCCCGGGCCGCCTTTCGGGGCGATTTTCGGCAACGCACCGGCTTCCCCCCTCCCCCCCCTTGTTTGTTCTAGCTGTTTGGCTGGCAATGACGCACGCGGAGCCGGTTACAGTGCTGGCTGTATGCAGTGTTTCTTGACGCTACCCAAACTTCGAAGACCGTAGCAAAGCCAGGGCGGGAGCAGGCCCACTGAGATTCGGAAGGAAAGATTTAGATAACATGCTGTATTCTGCCTAGATGCTTAGGTGCCCCCCCCCAGAACACGCATCAACCAATATGTGAACATACCCATGCACAATGCAAGATGGATCCTACTGGCAAGGTGAGAGGCACCAAAATCTGATCACAAAACAGGGAGCTCTTCTGTGGACTCCTGCCTGCCCAGGCTTCAACCCATTCAAAGTCTCTCGCTTTGGGGGGAATGCAGCCACAATGAGAACCGAACAGCCAGAGGACTTGAATTTCAACCAGGGCGCATAGCAACGAACAACTTATGAGGGACAGAGTTCTCCAGCATAAAGGAGACCCTCCCTCAAAGCTCGCAATCAGTCCGAGATGCATCTTGCTTGAGCAATTTGTGCTGATAGCTGCCACGGGCTCCTCAATTCAATGTGGCGAGAAAGGCAAAGCCCTCGATGCATTCCCCAAATGCTCCTGGCAGTGCGGGAAGTGCTACAATGGATATCCTAAGCAGGGGGGGGGGGGGGAATCCGGATTCTCTGCTTTCTTGCCTGCGAGATAACAGCCAGGGAAACTCTTGGGACCCCGCTGGCTTTTGGATTGCGACTTGCGTGCTGCAGCCGATTGTGCAGGTTCTGCAGGAATTGCACTGACAATGCTCGAGGTTCCTTTGTAGGCTAGTTGAAGCAGACTATGCCGAGGAGTTCTGCAAACCAAAAAGAATGAACGGTTTTGCTGGGCAACAACGGGGGGAAGTTTGATGGTTTGATTTCGGGCGCGCGCGTTTCACATGCGCAAGCTGTATGCTTCCAGATGCACAATCCTCATTGTTGGCGTGTCGAGCCTTTTGAGCATGTTGCGCATCTTGGAGAAGCGTGAGCGTTGGCGTACTGCTATCCCAACATGAGTTGTGCCAGGTGCCAAAACTCCCGCGGCGACCATGCGACTGCCGTGTGGCAGTGGCAGCTGGGTAAGACCTATCCTGCCTGTCCCCCGTGTCGGTTGGTGAGTTGGTTTTGAGCATTGGTGAGGCAACACTTGCATGTTTTCTGCAGATGCTGCGCTACTATTCAGCTACGATGAAAGTGAAAGCTTCCCGGGCCTCACAAGCAGAAGCAACGGCAAGGTAAACAGGTGACAATTTGATTTTTGACAGGTGGCTCGCCAATACGTAGGCCTGCTTGTTGCAACATCCCAGCATGAACAAGCTGAACAGGCTCACTTTGGCACTGCTGCACTGAAAGAGTCACTTTGGGCTTTTGATGATGCGATGTTAGTTGACTTGATTATACATGCCTTGTACTTGTTGCAACTCCAATCTTCAGCTGGTTGCATTCCGGTAGCAGGCGCTTTGTTTAGACGGATGCCTGGCCTTGTCTCCCACTGCTACGTTTCATTTGGTCAAAAGGGCGCAAAAATTGACAGAGCCCAAGGTATTGCCTTCTGCGGCTGCCAGCGGAACATGCACGCTGTGACGGGTGTCAAGTGGGGCTTCCGACTAGTTATGTGCGTGTGGACTCGGCATCCTGACGCACCGGTTCCTTTGGAGCAGCTCCGTGTGTGCTATTTCAGGCCCGGCTCCGGCCTGAGCATTTGGTTGACCTCGGATGACCTGCACAAGTACCCCAAGCGACGGCGGAAGAATGAGATGTTGCATGACTCAGAGGAGGAAGACGCTGACATGCACGAGGCCTCAGATTGAAGAAATCTCTTCTGAGCGCTATGGGCTCAGAGCCACCAATTTACCATATATTAGACATGCGCAGTCTCCAAATTTTAGCCAGGCGCGCATCACGCGCCACGCTTGCAGTAGAGGCATTTTGGAAGATAGCTTTTACTGCTATCTGCTCAGGTGTTGCGTGCACAAGGGCCAAAGTCGTCATGGGCTAGGGCTCCAATATCCAAGGGTCACAGAAGTCGTGAACACACTAGCCACAGACTGTTACTCACTGAACAGTAGCTTTCCTCATAGCTTTCGAGCTTGTGGACGTGCATGCAGCGAAGCATGCATCTCACAAATTCGCGTCGCGGCCACATCTCACAGCCAGTCTTACGATTCGCCTCAGAGTTTGTTGAAGACTGTTTGGGAACGTTCAAGTTAGCACAGGCTGAGCTGTGGTTAGATGGTGCTGACAGCAGGAAACGTGTCATGGGACAGGAGGTTCTGCGGCTCTTTTCCATTTCCCTCTCCAAGGGGATGCTCAACCAAGCGTCAACTCCGAGAGATACCACTTTGGTTTGCATGAAAATTGCCAGGACTCTGCGCATGCATTGCCTGCAAAGTGAAGGCGTTTAGCATGCAGAGCGGTCGTGCAAACGGTTGTGAAAGCAGGTCCTTTCCACTATGCATATGTTTGTGCTCAGCTTAGGGTGTATGCTCGATATTGCTTTCCGTCAGCGGTAAGCGGTCAGCTCTTTGCTCGCAGCCCATGTCCTAACCCAGACAGGTGGCACGTGCTACTCAGCTTGACATTAAATTGGACAGGGCGCAACACCCTTCTGGCAATGGATCCTGCAGCGGTGGAGGAGTTTCGCAAGTTGGATCAGGAGAAGAACAGGTTGGAAGCCGACATCAAAAACCTTTATGATTACCTGACCGAAGATGGAGACTCGATTCAATAGTAGCTTTGCTCGGCTTTTTCTGCGGCTGTTTATGCAATGCAGCAAGGTATGCCCGGCATTTCCGGGCCGCTGGTGGATGAAGAGGGCTTTCCAAGAGGTGACATCGACCTGTATGCTGTCCGGCAGGCACGGCATAAGTATGCCGTGGCACAAACTGATCACATGGAGGTCATGAAGAAGATCGAGCAGGCCGGCATCTTGCCCCACCCCAATTACGCAAGCAAGCTCCATGGGACTCCCTGCAGGCTATCACGGCTATCCATGCGAGCACAAAGGTGCATGTGCCGCGGGAAGGCCCTGCCGATGCAAAGATGGAGGAGGATGAGCCGATTCCATCAGCAGACAATGTCCTGCTGCAGGTGAAGCTTACTGCTCCTTTCGAACTTCCGCCGCAATCTTGCTCTCATTCTTTGCCCTTGCTTTCACCTGCCTTATTTTTGCAAGACCCCGTTTGCAGTCCCACATTCGGTAGCTTCAGGTTTTAGGACCCTGGGCTGACAACATGTCTTCCAGCTTATCCTTCCCCAACCAAAAATACACCTGCAACGAGGCACATTCCCCGGGGACAAACATATTGGGGGGGCCCGGCTGGCTTCCGTTCTTCTCCAAGGGGCCCCCGCTATTTGGCAGTGATTTTCTTAGGGGTCTGTAACAGAGCCGCGGCGGACATTCGTTACAGACCTCGTTACAGACCTCTGCAACAAAGACCCGATGGCTCGTTACACACCCCTCGTTACACGCCCTCGTTACACACCCTCGTTACACACCTCAGATGAACAAACCGGGGCAGTGACTGCCCTCTTTGCCGCAGCTTGTGTTGCGTTGAAAAGCTGCAATCAAGCTGGAGCTGCGGAGGCGCTTTGCGTACATACCTCTTTACAGACCGAACCCCAGCCCGGGCCAGCGACCCCCCTTTTTGCCGCTTGGCATAGCCGGGCATAGCTGCAATCACGCTGGAGCTGCGGAGGCGCGCTTTGCGTACTTCGCTTTGCTTTGCCTCGTTATTGCGTACCTCGTTACAGACCCAACCCCAGCCCGGGCCAGTGACCCCCCTTTTTGCCATCTTGGCTTTGTGTCGGCAGTTGCAAATTTCAAGCTAGGAGACGTGCTTTGCGTACTGCGCTTGTACTGTACGACTTTCGAGCAGGAGCTGCTGCTGTTCATCGTTGTTCTGCGCTACATTGTGCTACTGATACTGCTTGTCAATAAATGTTTTTCCCGTTGCAGACCTGTGTAACAAGGACCTCCGTTACAGACCTCCATAACAAGATTCGTGGCGCGTCGCGCGTTACAGACCCTCAGAAAAAAGCACTGCCATTTTGGGAACAATCAAACTCGCAATGACCGTTCAGAGCTTTGTGTTCCTATTTGTTCGCGGCTAAAATCGACCTATCTATTCGGCTTCTATTTCAATTTTGAACATGTTTTGGAGTGTCCTCTAACAAATTTGGGCCCGGAGGCTGGATGGGAGTCCGGAATGTAAGTGCAGCAAAGGGGTTGCTTAGCTGTCAAAGGCTGCCCAGCAGTTGCTGAGATTCAAGCTCAGGCCACCATAGACGAGGTGAGCGACGGCTCTCCTGCTCAAACTGCGGGCTTGCGAATTGGCGATCAGATCTGTCGCTTTGGGCCAGTCAGCCTTCAGGACGGACATGGGCCCGAAAAGCCGTGGTTTTTTTTGCTTCGCGTATATTGATGTCTCATGTGCTGCGCCCCCACCGGCAAGTCGGCTAGGACACGGGAGACTTGTCGGCGTGTTTCAATGCTATTCGTGAGCTTGTGCCCCGAAGTGTGGGCACCGCCATCAACGTGACGGTTCTTCGCCAGCGGCTCAGTTGCTCCCAGCTGCTCCCAAGTGTCTAGGGGCGTTGCCGTTCGATTGCCCATGATTGCCCAAATGGCCTGTTTCTAGCTGCAAGGTGGCGAGCCGCCTGCCAGAACAGAGCTGGAACTGGTACCTCAGCAGTGGGCTGGCCGTGGGCTGCTGGGCTGCCACATGGATCCCAAGCGCTGAGCTGCGTTCCGGACACCCAGGCAGCTTGTCTAGACGGAAACCCTTTCACCCGCGCCCACGCAAAGTCCGGAGGTGGCAAGCTGTGCGCACATGTGCAGCATCGAGTCAGTCCACTGGCTCGCGATGTGCACAATAAAGAAACTAGAGTACAGGCTGCGAAAGCAAAAGTGCAGAGTGATTGCACGCATCAGCTTGCTGCTGTGCATGTCGGCATTGCAATGTGCTGAGGCCACAGCCGCCTTTACACAGTCCTGAGTTGGGCTTTGCAGGAGGCCAAGTGTGAGGGTCCGTCATGGAATGAGAGAATGCCGGATAGATGTATGCACTGGTGGTCTTGCATCAATGTAAAAGAATCCCTGCATTCATTCCTATTTACTGGGCTGGGTTGGGCGGCGGCAAATCGACTGATCCGACTTAGGCTAGCTGTGGGCTCCACGAGCTTTTCGACCTTTACGGCAAAGCCACCAGAGCCGCATTCTCAGTCGCAGCGGTGCGCGATGCGCCGCCAAGCAACATCAGATGGTGCGAACAACACCCAGGCCACCAACCAGAGTGAGCACGGGCTATCAAGATGGCTGCGTTGGTAGGACACTTTCATGATTCTTGGGTTCTAGGTTAGGAAAGCGTCTCCGGGGCGTACGATATCTCAATCCCAGCCAGAGGCTGCGCACTTGTACAGGCAGCTCTATGATTATTGCTTGGATTTGCATGTGAGGGGCTTCTCAGAAGAGAGCCTCAACACAAGCAACAAGCCGGAAAACGAAGTGTCTGCATAGAGATGTGGCTTTCATTTCAGCACAACACAAACACAAGATTGGTTGCTTAAGCTCCCGTGTCCACGTTGCAGGTGACAAATGTTGGACCTGGTGTGCAGCTGGGCAGGCTGCTGAAAGGCCTTTGCCACCGCACCAGTCAGAGCAAAAGGGGGCCCCGGATCAAATGAAGGCGCTATGGGCTCCAGAACGGCATTTGCCGAAGCCGTTGGGCCTGCGCGCTTTGGCATAGCTGCGCAGCTGCTCTCGTGTTGATCTTTCGCTGCCAGGCCCGGAAGCTTAGACAAGGAGCACGCGGAGGCGTTCAATGTGCGATTTGGGGGTTGGTATGGGCTTGGAGCGCTCCGCAGATGCCCTGACGTCGCTGGAGTTTGAGTATTTTGCGGTGTTCGGGGCTCGGAAAAGTGAACCGCGCAAAGTGCGTTGAAGTGTGGCATCTTTTTTGCAAGGTAGTTGAGGCAGGGGGCCCGTGTCAGGCGAGAGATGGGCCTGGACCTGGCGACGGCACGCAAGGCACGGGAACTGCACTGGCTATTCTGGCTGCGCACCTCATCCCAGGCGTTTGCTTCTTGCCTAGAGGCGCGCCTTTCGGAGTCAACATTAGCCCAGTGCTAAAACTAGACATACCCAGCATGTGTGTAGAGACTCCCTTGCCTGAGCTTGTTAGCTTTTGGTGGGATCAGGTGCAGGCTCGCTCCAATCAGGCCCGGACATGCCTTTCCAAGTCCCAAGCCAATTCAGCCAAGGGTGGAGGATGCTGCCAAGCAATTTCGTCATGAAGTTACATTGGTGTATCAAACGGCAGAGCTTCCTGCAGCGAGAAAGTTTTGGCTCAAGATCTGAAGGTGGACTTGTGGGCACTAGCACCAGTAGGCTTGGGCCTGCAGATCGGAAGGTCAGCGGGGTGAATGCATCAAGTAACAATTCTTCGGCAGACGCATTCGACAAGACAGGCAAAGGGTCGAGCTGTTTCTTCCTGCTCAGCCAGGGCCTGTAGAAGTGGAAATCATTATCTTGCTGAGCGACCAAATCATTTGGCTTGGGCCAAGCAAGGGCTATAATTGGTGGAGATGAAATGGGAACGCCTCGCAGGAAACAGCCACTGAGGGAAGAATATCAGCCCTCTCGCAAAACCCAGCCTCTCCGATTTCTGTCACCTCCAGCATGTGCGCCACACACACGCCAGCTCTTGTGATTTGTTGAACCTTGAAAAGGAAGAGGAAGGCAGTGAAGGCTGCCCATTCGTGCATTCTCGCCAGACCCTGTCGGCAAATTGCAATCTTGCCAGACCATGTCTCAAGCTGGTGGACAACGGCCTCCGGCCAACCGAATGACACTGCAGAATACCGGCTTGCAGTAGTCGTTCTGATCGCTCTTTTGTTTGACGTATTTTTCCTTTGTGGTGTTTTTGTTAGTTGCTGAATTATTTGTTTGTTTGTCTGCTGGTCTGTTTGTTTGTCAGCCTGTCAGTGTCTGCCGGTGCCGGTGCCTCGTCACGTCATGACTACCTAAGGACATTCAAAGCGCGGCTCGGAGGAGCGACCAAAGGCTGGCCATGGCCCGCCACGGGTTCCGGCAGGCAGCTTGAAGCCTTGAAGCTCCTTCCGACAGGCTTCAAGCTCCTGAAAAAGAAGAGGGATGCGCTGAAAGCTCGTTTTCAGGCAGGGCATGAGGCGACAGCCTCGCGACCTTGTGCTCTTTTGGCCATGCATGAGCTTAATCTGGTGAGCTCAGGCGCTGCTCAAGGACATGACGAGTGCAGATGAGTTCTACTGTTTCATTGTCCTTATCTTTCTATCTTGCTTCTGAGCTGGCCATGAAATGAGTGCCAGGACATTGTGGACACCAAGCTTAAGGTTGGAGAAGGCCTCAAGGACACGCAACCGAGCTGGCGAATGTATTTAGAGGTGGAAATAAGCAGGACAAACGGGAAGCGAGCATGGTGACCTTGATGGTGTGGGAACTGTTGCAGGAAGGTGCCTTTGCCTTGGCAAAAGCTCACTATGCCAGCTCCGGGGACGACATCGCTAGCTCGATCATCGAGAGGGTGCGCTGCTTTAAAAGAAGCATATTTGCGACATTGCTCCTTGGGCTGATCAGGCCAAGAAGCCCTCCTTGACCACCAAGATGTATCCGGACAACGTTGCAGGAGTGCAGCGCTCACACCTTCTTCCGGCCCTTTTGCAAGGCTGTTCGCAGTGACATGCCATGTCAAGGTGTCCATCCCGGTCTTCAAGATGCTTCGGGATTCTTCGCAGGAAGCAGTGGAGTCTCAGCACAGTTGGCCTGCAGGGTGCCAGGTGGAGTATACGCTTTGCTGATTTTGGAAGCCCGAGAATGTGTTGCTTGTTGGTATGCGTCGGAACTTGCAAATCTAGGTCCACGTTGAAGGCCCTTGAGGGAGCAAGCCAACATGCATGAATCTTCTGTTCTAGTTGAGACTGGCACCCTTGGCAAGCTAGGCGCAAACTATGGGTGTCGGATCGGGTGGAGCAGTTTTGAGCGCAACCCGCGACACCTACCTCAAAGCAGTGCTCCTTGGCCGTGATGAGCTTATGGGCAGTGCAGCAAGCGACCGCACCTTCGGTTGAGACATCTGACGACCTTGCGGCAAGTGCTGGGCAGTTTTCGAGCTGAGCAAAGCTGAGGGAATGCATTGTGCAGCTGGCCAGTCTGCAAACAGCATTCCACACTCTCGACGAGGAGATCAAGATGACAAGCAGACGTGCTGCTTGGCAAATGAGCGAGATTGTGGCTGCGCTGGCTTCAGCTAACCAACTGCGATTGATAAATCGGCTTCTTTAGGTGAACGCTTTGGAGTACGTCCTCATCCCTCGCATTGAGGACGGAGGGTGTATATGGGGGTATAGGCCTTTTGCATTCCGGTGTTTGTAGTTCCCAGCGGCAGGAAATTATGCACTACATCACGCAGGAGATGGATGAGGAGGCAAGTCATGAGAACCAGCCTGAGTTGAAAGCCAATTGAATCGGCTTATTGTTCTTGCCTGGGACGCTTGGGTTCATTTGGGGGCATAGGCCCCTGGTGCAAATCGCGCCACATTTGCAAACTCCCATAGGCTCTTGCAGCAATTTTCCTCGCACCACGTCAAAGGTGTTGCCTTTCGTAGGACTTGTGCATCTCCATGCAGCAATTGCAGAGCGAGTATAGACTAGTTGTCCTTGTCTGGGGGCAAGAGATGGGAGCACAGCAATGCCAACAGACAACATGTATCTGGTTGCACGGGCACACGGCACCGCCAACTGCATTGCTGGGATCAGGATAATGGTTTTCAGGGCAAGTTTAGCGATGCCACTTCAGGTACCTCAAAAAGTCTGACTTGTACAGTGTTCGCTGCAAATGCAGCGTTGCTTCCCCACAATGAAAGTTTCGAACCAAACATTAGTTCTTTGCATCGCCCTTTCCACCTCTTCAAGGAATCAAGTAATCACTAATATTCTTGATCTAAGTTCAGGGTGGAACATTGGCCCGCTGCAAATTCCTTGGGAGTCGGCTTGTAGGAGTCTAAGGAGAAAGGATTTGCATGAATGCCAGGCAAGCGGTTCAATCTGTTGTCCAGGTGATGTTTTCAGGGATCTTGGGTTCACGGCTGCCATGAACTAGTCGGGGAGTCGCGAGGGCTTTGGTTTTTGAGTTTAGGTCTATGACTGGGAATTTGCCGTTGAGGTAGTGAGGTGACGAGCATTTGGGGTTTCGCTTTGACCGGGGACGACGTGTCATGGGTTTTAGAGGCGTCAGGTCAAAACTATTGAAGTCTTTCAGTTTTTTTTGTTTTGAATTTGGGGGTTTAGGAGGGCCTGTCACGTGGTTGAATGTCGGAAGGCAGGCAGGAACGAGAGCCTGTTTCCAGGCACGAGAGGAGTTCTTCCGGGTCAAGAAGGTGGTGGAGAAGAAGAAGATCAAACTGGTCGCTGCGCCGAAGGGAAATTATGGGTCTTGTATGGCATACTGGCATACTGCGGGCAAATGATGAGCTAGACAAGTGGAAACTGTTGGCTTCAGTGGCTCTCATTGGCATTCG